GTTAGTTCTTTTCTTCTATTAATTTTGTATAATATATCATCAATTTGTAAAAAGTATTTTGCTTGATTATAAATTTTGCATTATTATTCAAGAATTAATCCTACAGGATAAGTTTTATTATCCAAATATTATTATAAATTGTAATAAATTATCAAATTCATGTTATTATTATAAAGATAAAAGTTATTTAATAATCTTCTGAATACATCCAGGATAATGCATCAGCATTTTAATTCTTTCTTTCAGGTTGATAAGTAATAATAAAGATATATTTTATAAGAGATATGATCTATCAGTTTACTCTAGCAGAATGACTTGATTGATTTTTAAATAACCATCTCAAGACATTATGGTCAGTAATAATTTCAAAAACAGTTTCTAGTAAGTAGTAAAGAAATTGTCTAACAGTCCACACTTATCAAAAATTAGTATGATCAATGCCAAAATACCTTGAGCTAGTTATATATAATTAAGAATATAGAACAAAGTATTAGAAATTGAAGTATGTACTATAGGCTAGATATAATTAATTTTTGAGATTTTTTAATAAAAGTTGCACAAATTAAATCACATCATTTGATTATCATTTTTTTTCCACCACCACTGTATCAAATTGAAATTACTATTAAGACAAATATATTTTTTATCAGGATCACACTATTTATCATCATCACTGATGTTCCAAGAATTTATAGCTGCAAAAGATATGTAATTGTACCTTTTCTTGACTTTATATTTTCATGATGAGTATATATGAGATAATATAGATATTGATATATAAAATTTGATTAATGATAATATCTGAATTTGATTGTATCCAAACTTTGATTTTATAATACTGATATTGATACAAAATTTGATTTACGAAATAAAATATATGAAATTTGGTTTACAAGATGACAAATATATGAAATTTGATTTATGAGATAATAAAATATACGAAATTTGGTTTATGAATGATAATGTACTGGTATGAGATGATTATTGCTATCGTTGTTGATAATTTTACGAGTGTTAACGTTTGTAAATCTTCACTATTTTTAATGATAACGTATTAGTATTTATAAATCAATACACTGACTTTAAAAGAAGATCATTTCAAGATTTTTCTTGTTACAGTATTAAAATTTAAAATACAAATAGAGCATATCTATAATTATTCTTTTTCTTAGAATACTAAAATGATTTGTCTTTAAAAATAACATAAATGAAACAGATGAAGTGAATAAAATTCAGTTCTATCATATGTAAAACATTCCATGTCGGTTGTCGATCATATAGTAAAAAATTGCACGTATCAATAGGATCGATATATTGTGATCTATATCGAGTTTAAGATAATCAAGATTCTCCTTTTTTTGAATAAACTTGATTTCACATGTAAATAACATATGAATCGTAAAATATTGCATTTTTTATTTTTTTATTCGTGTGATGCAAAACTTTAGGCAGCCACTGTACTACCATCTCCATTCCGCCAAAATTCCTGTCGTATCTAAATTTATAAATTTTATGAAATATAATAATTACTAATAATCTTTATTTCTATATTATATTTATTTTTCTGTATTTTATTTCTTATTTTATCGCATCAATAACTTTATCTTTGTTATATCATGCGTCAGTAACTATATCAAAATGACAGAAAGAAGATAGTACAACCGTAGATTCCGAATAATCTTTATTTCTATATTATACATGTATTTTTTTCTGTATTTATTTTTTATTTACCGCATCAATAAAGTGGTAGTGGCTCGATTTCACAGAGTTAAAGACTCGTGGCTATGCCACATATCGATATATACATATATAATTGTGTTTACTTTTACATGTGTATTTTTCGAATTTTTTCTGTATTGTTATCGTTATTGATGATATGCGAGAATTTTTCTTGGCAAAGTGATCGGCGTGAAAAATTCGGAACGCACACATTGCATTGTTTTATTTGGCATTAAATAATAAAAAAACGTTTTTCAAGACGTGTACAGTAAAAATCTTTTTCCAAACATTCGTGACAAAGTTATATAAATTAATGTTAAACACGCAAACTCAAAGAAATGAAGAGGCAGAGCCTCGAGACTTTGTCTCATCTAAAGACTTATCCGAAGTTGATTCATTAAAACTGAAGAATGTTAGGCTTATGACCAGAATCGCAGAATTAGAAAAAATAGTGAAAGAAAAAAATGTGCTTGAAGCTGAACTAAAACAGATTATAGAAGAAAACGCTGAGAAATCGAAATTAAGAGATAATGAGCTCAATGCTAGAATCATGGAACTAGAACGCTCAGCAAAAGAAAATGAAGAGCGATTTGTGAAATTGGGAACAGGATCAATTGCAAAATAGTACTATAGGTGAATTAGATAATTCTTCTGAAAATGATGTTAATGTACCCAACCCTGTTATGAACCGGTGCATCGATACTAATACCAAATCGTTAAAAGATGAAATCAATCAATCTTCAGCGAATAAAACCCTTATGAAACGAATTCTGATATATACCAAGAAAAGGATAAGAAAATGAATGATTTTCTGGATCAGAAAGAAAAGGAAAAGGTTAGAGATATGATGGTAAAGAGGAACAGGAAAAAGAAACTATTACAAAATAATGAAGAATCTGCTTCTCGGAACCAAGAACCAATACAAAGAATACTCCCTTCTGAATCACAAAATACCTCACTTTGTGAGAATTCTACAACTGTTTCTCCCGAAATAAAAATACCTTATAATCAGAAAGTAGAACAAGGTTTAATACATGAGTTGTTTGAATTTATTAGAGGCACCGAGTTCATGTCCTAAAGAAAACCCCATTGAAATCTATCTTTATTGAACAAATTTCGGTCATTCCTGCTGACATAGATCTACCTCCAGGTTCCGTACCTCATTTAGCTCTTTTATTTGACAAGGCCGAAAAAAACTGGACGAAAAGAAAAATTGCGATGTAGTGAGGAATATGAAAAAACGTTTCAGCACGTATGTGCAGGCTCACGCCAAATCTTTGCTCAGAAAAAAATATTAGTGATCAACAGCGAGAACGCAAATCTATGATGAAATGAGGCAATATCTACCTGGAATCAGGAGAGTATTTACGTATGATGACTCAAAAAGCTAGATCTATTTATACTATATTCAAAGGGGTAGGAAAAGATAAAATTGAGTACATTACATATAGTGTTGATGCTATTTCTAGTTTAACCGGCACACAAATTCAAAATATTATAAATCATTATATTAATGCGGAAATATCATAGTTTGAATCTCAAAATTGATCGGCGTGAAGAATTCGGAACGCGCGCATGACCAACCAAAATCTGATATAGAAACTAAAGTATGCAAAGAAACTTTATCGGAAACAAAAGGTACTCCCTCTATTCAATCATCTCATACCTCTAATTTGATTGATGAGATAAGTAGGAAAGTCGAATCTTTGCCTGAGGAAGAGGTAAGTGCATTAACTGAAAAGATTTCATCAGAAACAAAGGTAAACATACCACCTATAAACAAAAATACATCTAAAAACTAAGAAAGCTTATTGAAAAAATCATCAGTGGAGCTGGCACGAAGGTGAGCGAGGATGCCAAAGAAATTCTTATCAGAAATGAACAGATATAGATGCTATTATTCTTATATTGCTACAAAAGTTCGAAATGCCGAAAAAAATATTAAATAAATGGCGAGATGATATAGCCTTTGAATTTCGGGATAATACTAAATACTGGAAAGAAGAACGTGGATATATGATTGAAGCTGATTTCTTTGAACACAAACGTTCGTTTGAAGCTAAAATTGGTGTTCCTTCTACTCCACATAAAAAAGACCTAAAGAACGTTTTTCAGTATTTATTGATGCATAGATGCAAAGCATTGTATGGCACACAAAAAATCAGTGAGTCAAAGACTCGATTCTTTGGATCATCGTTTAATTAGTGCATATTAACACACAACGGAACACACACGTGATTTACTCGCTAATTTGTATTATAACATATATTAACAGCTCCAAAGGAGCGCTTCTCTGAGGCATAATCTCTCAGTAATACATAATGATAGAGTTGCGTGAAACACTATCCCAATATATAGGCTTTCACTCGATTTCCTGTTAAAGAAGAAGATAAACTACTTTTCCGTAAAATAATAGCAGAACAAGAGGAAATGACAGATATTGTAATGAACGAGTATCGTTTTTTACTTCTTCATGGTTATAACTATAAAGGCGGGAAATTGATACATATACTATCGCTATGGTTATCATTGTGTACTAAAAAAGACACTGAAAAAGTGTTAATACCTATAGAAGTCCCCGATTCACGTATCTTATCAAGAAAAATTCTGGCTCATATCGAAAAAAGGTTTGAGGATCTTCCACTCGCACCAGTTGTTATAGTTGATTAAGATGGAGTATACATGTATATCAAAAATTCTTAAACTGGTTGAACGATCTGAGGTCTGAAATTTCTTGACAGTGATCGGCAAAAATTCGGTACATGTACTGTATATCATTTTTCAAAAAAATTATTCACTTAATCAGAATAATTTAATAATTACTGATTATTTAACTATATAATAATATAAAATTTTTATTTAAATAAAAAATAATTAAAATTATATAAATATAAGATTTAAGTAATTATAACTATTATATTACTTTAAAATTTATATATTTCTTATTAAAGTAACTAGTAATATTAAATATATTTTTTAAGAATATAACTTTTTATCTTGATAATTATAATTATAATTATAATTTAATAAATAAGAAATTTACTATTTTATATATGAATAAAAAACTTATTTATCATCTTTTCTTAAATTTTGCCAGACTTATATAATAATTAATTATATAAAATATAATTATATTGATTATAATATTTTAAATTTATATTTATCTATTATAATAATTAAGTAATATATAAAATAGTCAATAATTTATAAATAATTAATAATAAAAAAGATTTATTAATAATAATTTCTTATTATTTAAATAAAGTATTAAAATTAAAATGACTAAAAATATTTTTTAATACTAGTAAAAAGAATATAATACTATTATTATTTTTTTATAAATATCAAGCTAATTGATCTTAAAATTTAATAAAAAAAATAGTTACTGCTTATAAATAGAGAAGAAATTAAAAGTTAAAACATATTAATTATATTTATTATAAAAAGTTTGATATATTAAATAAATATTATAGATTATTTTTTCAAAATAAAATTTTTTAATTCTGTCTTATTTAATAAATTATTAGATATTAAAATTTATTTAAATATAAAAACTTTTGTTATATATTTTTTATAAAAAAATTTTACTAATAATAAACTTTTTGAATTATTATTTCTTAAATTTTACTATATAAACTTTGATCAAAATTAATATAAATATTATCATCCAGTACAAAAAGATTGGTATATCAAATAAATATTAATAAATTATTTTTTCAAAATAAAATTTTTAATTCTGTCTTATTTAATTAAGTTATTAGA